ATCCATCCATCCATCCATCCATCCATCCATCCATCCATCCATCCATCCATCCATCCATCCATGCATGCATGCATGCATGCATGCATGCATGCATGCATGCATATGTGTGAAGTGTGAAGGTGTTTTCATGCAGGTTGCATCAGTGGTCTGAACACTGGGTGGTTTAAAAGGCCAACAACTACGCCTGAAACAGAAGCAGGTCCCACTGTGACAAGAAATCAGCCGGAAAGTCGAGAAGATAAAGAATCAACAAAAATATTAATCATAATAATTTTAAAATATATAAAGTGAGCACAATGTTTACAAGGGGGAAATAGAGCAAACAAGATAAGATATAACTTTATTGATCCCGCAGGAAATTAAAGTAGGATTTAACAAAACAACTGGTCCGAAGGGAAAACCTGTGGATAATTTAATTATAAAAACACTAAGCCGGCAAAAGAAAGATTCAAGAAAAGTAAAGAAATGAAACCTTAACTGCGATTTTATAACCGACCTCGCTCCCACAGGACAATTTGCAACACATTTACTTTGTTGGTTTGAATTTTAGGGTTTTTCCTAACAAAGGGGCGCTCTGATTGTAAAATTTTAGGATGATCATAAAGTTGTGCCTTCCCATTACTCGTTATTCACATCATATTCAGTTTGTTCAACAAAACATGCACTGAATGGGAGGCTTAAATGGTTTGTTGTTCTATTCAATTGAAAAAACTACAAATCCCTTTTATTTCCAAAACTGATCAAAAATAATTTTCTCACACGTCAGAAAACTGAAAGTTTCGACTTATGTGTATTTTCCTGAACTAATTTCTTAATGAAATGCTTTAATCACTTTCAGACCACATGTTTTTTCCAGTGTGAAGGAACAAATTTTAATGGGAATGCAACATCTTCCTCATTTTTTAGTTCCGCCTTTTCGTTATACAGTTATTTATTTTTCCACAGCAGAGCTAAACCCCCGCATGTCTGAGGTTAGAGTCTCTAATCAGTGTTAACAGGTAAACAGACTAAATATAAATATCTGTGCAGTTCTCCACACGTCAATGTATAAATTCTTAAAAAAACTAGAACAGTATGTGAAAGCCACATTTTATCTGTGTCTTTGACATTTCAGGCTTCAATTTCTCTCAGAAAGCATCAAATTTAGATGCTTGTCAGAAGATATTGAGGCAGGCTGACCTATCATTGAGTATAATTAGAACCATAAAATTAAAGACTTACGCCACAGAGGCTGGCTTGGTGGTTGGAGAGACGCCTCAGACTCGGAGGAGGACAGAGGCGGCCGCGGACTGTCCAGAGACGTTTGGCTTCGGGAGTTGAACAAACCGGAGAGGGCTGCAAGAGTAAGAACACACACGAGGATTTGTTCGAACCGGTCTCTAATAAACAGGCGGTACAACAATCGCTGAGGGATTTGAATAGCTAATGTTTGTGTTTTTCAAGATTAGTGCTTTTTCTGGACTGAACATGTGCATGTCTGTTAGCCAAATATCTCAGGAACCTGTGAACGTAGTTAAGTGAAGCTCTTTGAAAGTAATCACTGGATGAACCTTTACAACTGATTAACTTGTGGAGTCGACCCCATTCATGGTGGCTGCCACAGCTGGCCGATCCTAGTAAACACACTGGGCTTTAATATGGTGATGTTTGTCCCCAACACATACTCTGAGAGCTAACAGATCACATGAGATCTTCGTTTAAAAACTGGCATACGAAGCAAATAGCCATATGCATTCATTGAAGGAATGCTTCTTTCATTTATTGTACTTTTAACTCAAAGACTGTTAACAACTTTAGATGTTTTTCTGCACATTTCAAACAACAGTTTACCCGTTAGTGCAGTTTGTTACGAACACGATCAGATAAAAGACAGGCAAAGACACTGTATGACCTTTGACCTTGATTTGTGACCTTGATCTTGAAGCTTGGGTGATGAAAATTGTACCAGACACTCCGTCTAGTAATAATGCATATGTTTATCCAGTTTCATTCAATTAGATGGAGCAAATCAAAAGTTATGGGTGGGACAAGCAAATGCCTCATTTTACCTTTGACCTTGATTTGTGACCTTGGAGCCAGGGAATGAAAAGTGCATGAGGAAATCTGTCTAGTGATGATGCATATGTGAATGAATTTCAATTTAATTATCTTGAGGGGATCAAAAGTTATGGACAAGACAAGCAAATACTCTGTTTAAACATTGACCTTGGTTTGTGACCTTGACCGTGGCGCTATGACGATGCATATGTGTATGAGGTTCATTACATTATCTTCAGCAGATCAAAAGTTATGGAAGGACAAGCAAAAACCTTGTTTAAACCTTGACCTTGGAGCTGGGGTTATGATGATGCATATGTGTATGAGGTTTGCTAAATTATCTTCAGCAGATCAAAAGTTATGGGTGGGACAAGCAAAGACCTTGTTTCACCTTTGACCTTGATTTGTTACCGTGGAGCCAGGGAATGAAAAGTGCATGAGGCAATCTGTCTAGTGATGATGTATGTGTATGAATTTCCATTGGATTATATAGAAGAGAACAGAAGTTATGGACAAGACAAGCAAATACAATGCTTAAACATTGACCTTGATTTGTAACCTTGACCTTATGATGATGCATACGTATATGAGGTTCATTACATTATCTTCAGCAGATCAAAAGTTATGAGTGGGACAAGCAAATATCTTGTTTTACCTTTGACCTTAATTTGTGAC